ACATAGAGAAAGGGTTGCTTTATCATTTCATAAGAAAAAAATTATAGTAAATATATTAATTCAGGAAAACTTGGCTTATTAGGCAAATCGGGCCTTGACCAGTAGGCTGAGAAGTGAGTTCTGGCTACTAGGTACGACATATATATGTATATATATATATATATATATATATATATATATATATATATATATATATATATATATATGTATATATATATATATATATATATATATATATATATATGATATATATATATATATATATATGTCGTACCTAGTAGCCAGAACGCACTTTTTGGCCTACTATGCAAGGCCCGATTTGCCTAATAAGCCAAGTTTTCCTGAATTAATATATTTTCTCTAATTTTTTTCTTATGAAATGATAAAGCTACCAATTTCATTATGTATGAGGTCAATTTTTTTTATTGGAGTTTAAATTAACGTAGATATATGACCGAACCTAACCAACCCTACCTAACCTAACCTAACCTATCTTTATAGGTTAGGTTAGGTTAGGTAGCCGAAAAAGTTAGGTTAGGTTAGGTTAGGTAGGTTAGGTAGTCGAAAAACAATTAATTCATGAAAACTTGGCTTATTAGTCAAATCGGCCTTGCATAGTAGGCTGAGAAGTCCGTTCTGGCTACTAGGTACGACATATATATATATATATATATATATATATATATATATATATATATATATATATATATATATATATATATATATATACTATATATATATATATATATATATATATATATATATATATATATATATATATATATATATATATATATGTCGTACCTAGTAGCCAGAACGCACTTCTCAGCCTACTATGCAAAGCCCGATTTGCCTAATAAGCCAAGTTTTCCTGAATTAATATATTTTCTCTAATTTTTTTCTTATGAAATGATAAAGCTACCCATTTCCTTATGCATGAGGTCAATTTTTTTTATTGGAGTTAAAATTAACGTAGATATATGACCGAACCTAACCAACCCTACCTAACCTAACCTAACCTATCTTTATAGGTTAGGTTAGGTTAGGTAGCCGAAAAAGTTAGGTTAGGTTAGGTTAGGTAGCTGAAAAAGTTTGGTTAGGTTAGGTTAGGTAGGTTAGGTAGTCGAAAAAAACATTAATTCATGAAAACTTGGCTTATTAGGCAAATCGGGCCTTGCATAGTAGGCCTTGCGGCCTACTATGCAAGGCCCGAATTGCCTAATAAGCCAAGTTTTCCTGAAATAATATATTTTCTCAATTTTTTTCCTGTGAAATGATAAAGCTCCCCATTTCATTATGTATGAGGTCAATTTGTTTGATTGGAGTTAAAATTAACGTAGATATATGACCGAACCTAACCTATCTCTATAGGTTAGGTTAGGTTAGGTTAGGTAGCTGAAAAAGTTAGGTTAGGTTAGGTTAGGTAGGTTAGGTAGTCGAAAAACAATTAATTCATGAAAACTTGGCTTATTAGGCAAATCGGGCCTTGCATAGTAGGCTGAGAATTGCGTTCTGGCTACTTGGTACGACATATATATATATATATATATATATATATATATATATATGTCGTACCTAGTAGCCAGAACTCACTTTTTGGCCTAGTATTCAAGGCCCGATTTGCCTAATAAGCCAAGTTTTCCTGAATTAATATATTTTTTCTAATTTTTTTCTTATGAAATGATAAAGCTACCCATTTCATTATGTATGAGGTCAATTTTTTTTTATTGGAGTTAAAATTAACGTAGATATATGACCGAACCTAACCAACCCTACCTAACCTAACCTAACCTATCTTTATAGGTTAGGTTTGGTTAGGTAGCCGAAAAAGTTAGGTTAGGTTAGGTTAGGTAGGTTAGGTAGTCGAAAAACAATTAATTCATGAAAACTTGGCTTATTAGGCAAATCGGGCCTTGCATAGTAGGCTGAATAGTGCGTTCTGGCTACTAGGTACGACATATATATATATATATATATATATATATATATATATATATATATATATATATATATATATATATATATATATATATATATATATATATATATTACATATTTATATATATATATATATATATATATATATATATATATATATATATATATATATATATATATATATATATATATATATGTCGTACCTAGTAGCCAGAACTCACTTCTCAGCCTACTATTCAAGGCCCGATTTGCCTAATAAGCCAAGTTTTCCTGAATTAATATATTTACTATAATTTTTTTCTTATGAAATGATAAACCAACCCTTTTCTCTATGTATGAGGTCAATTTTTTTTTATTGGAGTTAAAATTAACGTAGATATATGACCGAACCTAACCAACCCTACCTAACCTAACCTAACCTATATTTATAGGTAAGGTTAGGTTAGGTAGCCAAAAAAAGCTAGGTTAGGTTAGGTTAGGTAGGTTAGGTAGACGAAAAAACATTAATTCATGAAAACTTGGCTTATTAGGCAAATCAGGCCTTGAATAGTAGGCTGAGAAGTGCGTTCTGGCTATTAGGTACGACATATATATATATATATATATATATATGCAAACAAGCCTGAATGGTCCCCAGGACTATATACAACTGAAAACTCACACCCCAGAAGTGACTCGAACCCATACTGCCAGGAGCAACGCAACTGGTATGTACAGGGACGCCTTAATCCGCTTGACCATCACGACCGGACATAAGGAAGTGATAGCCGAAGCTATTTGAACCACTTCCCCGCCGGAACTCGGATGATAATCTTGGGCATAGCATTTTATCAAATCACCTCATTCTTTGGGGCACACGTGATATAACCTATCCTCCGAATTGACAGTACGATTTAATACTAAGTGTAATAAATACATTTTCTTACTGTCATAAACACTGCATAATTGCACTTATAGGGCTGTTACATTTACCCAACCCCCTCCCCTGATTTAATTCTCCTCGTTTTTTGTAAAGACACTCAGAATCTTAGGATGAAGTTTACAATCTCAATTTGCGATACACAAGTTTTAAATATCAGGAATTTATTTTTCAGGTTTATTAAACAATATAGATTTTATACAAAATTTTAAAATATCCTGAGCTACTTTACAATTTATTGATACATTTAGTTTTGTTTTATTAGTTTTATAAAACTGTAATATCAATATAGCTATAGGTTAAGTACTAATTGTAATTAAGAAGCAATAAAATTAACCTAACCCGGGATCCCCGACTGTGAATCGACAAAGTCAACTGTACTATGAGAACCTAAATAGGTAAATATGAGGAGAGTAAAGGCGAGACACAGATACGAGATAAGGCAACTGGGAGACCTTGAACGCCTGCCGTCAGCGAAGCAGTCAGTTCAGACCCAGTGTTGGAGAGAGAACAGCGTGTGAAACAGAGGAACGCAAGTGCTGTGTGTTTGCATCAGTCTGCCAGTGTCATCAAAGACAGGTCCAAAGTGTGAGTATTTGATCTCTGCCAGTGTTAACATAGCCAGGTCCAGAGAGGATAGGTATCAGATCTCTACCAGTGTAGGCAGGTCCATACGGTGGGTATTTTATAATAAGAGGATCTGATCTCTACTAGTGTCAATAAAGGCAGGTCTATGATGGGTATTTGATCTCTGTCTGTGTCATCAAAGGCAGGTCTGTAGTGTTGATATCTGATTGTGTCAACCAGATATCCAACCAGACATCTCATTTTGTCAACCAGATATCCAACCAGATATCTGATCGTGTCAACCAAGAAACCAGTGTCAACAAAAGCAGACCTTGGCTTGACACGGTAGGAGGCGAACTTGTGTCTGTCTTCTTCATTCCCGTGTTGGCAAGATAGTTACAACTGGTGAACTACTGCTTCCCCCTCCACGGTCTACATGCATCTATTAGGACCTTCTGGGTGTTTATGGTGTATTACAAAGGACAAGTGCTGCAGGCATTTCAGTTTGTTTCATTTGTATAAAATTGTTTGTACTATTTACGTTCATAGTACAATGGAGGCGTTTTTTAGACCTACATCCTTGTTGATATATTGTGGGTGGCTATGCTAATTGGGTAAGGTGTGTCGTGTCTTGGTTTGATTGTTGTGTGACTTTTTAATGTGCATGTGTTGTTCCGTGTTGGATGTACATTGTGTGCTCCTTCCATGTGCAGTAATTGTACAAGTGTTTGATTTACAAAGAATTTGAAATTGATGTTTGCAATAAATTTTGTTCTGTGGTTTTAGTTCTTTGTATTGATATCATTCCTGTGCATACCTGCGAGTTGTTAGCATGTGATAAGTTTGTTTGTCGGCAGTTTTAATTGTCTAATATGTTCAAGGAAGAGTTGCGCTCTAGCAGCTATGAGGTGCAGACGTGTCGCCTGGTCTCTCTGGTAGTTGGAGTGTTTGCCGCTTTAGTCGGCAGGGTGGTGTGGGTGTCTCTACCCTCCCTGCTGTTCCCTCCTGGTTAGTGTGGATTTGGCGCGTTTGCGATGGGCGGCCATCTTTCCCTTGTTGTGAAGGTCAACTCCATGGGATTGGAGTTTACTGGTCGTGCGGGGTACCCTGTCGTGGAGCTTATCATGTGTGACATGATAAGGCCGAGATGAGAGCCGGTCGGCCGAGCGGACAGCACGCTGGACTTATGATCCTGTGGTCCCGGGTTCGATCCCGGGCACTGGCGAGAAACAATGGGTAGAGTTTCTTTCACCCTATGCCCCTGTTACCTAGCAGTAAAATAGGTACCTGGGTGTTAGTCAGCTGTCACGGGTTGCTTCCTGGGAGTGGAGGCCTGGTTGAGGACCAGGCCGCGGGGACACTAAAAAGCCCCGAAATCATCTCAAGATAACCTCAAGATAACTGACATGCTCCATATCCCGGTAATGGACATCTACGGTGTTGAGCTGGTAATTGCTCATCGTGTAGTTATAAAGTTTGTGGGGGAAGCGGTGTACCGTGACTTTCTCCGGAGGTACGAGGGACGTACTTTGCAGCTGCAGGATGGCACCGGATCTTTGGCCATTATGGATCGTAGCGGTGCCTTGACGTATATAAGTGTCCATAGGGCCCCCCATGGAGTTTCCCGAGATCCTCCTTCGGCGTTTCCTCCAGCGGTTTGGTGCCGTTGTTAGTGTGCGGATGCACACGCTGTCTTCTGGCAAGTTTACAGATATGAGGACCAACATTCGTACCCTTGTGATGCGCCTCAGGTCGGACTTTCCATCTTCTGTCCGGCTTTTAGGGTACTACGTACGAGTGTACTATGCCTGGCAAGCACGGACATGTTTTCGTTGTGGCCTGTTGGGGCATCAAGCTGCCGGGTGCACTGAGGCTGCGACTGCTCCCATGAACATCTTCAAGGAAGAGGATTTCCCGCCGCTCCCTGTGGAGGAGGACTCCGGGGGTGAGGAGGTGGACGTCCCGATCGCTGCTGAGGCTTCCCCTGCATCTCCAGGTACGCCTCCGGATGTTGCTGACCCTCCTCCGGGTGTTGCAGTGCCGTCGGCGGTTCTTCTTGCTCCGGTCGATGTTCCAGCTGCTCCAGAGGGTCTTCCGGGAGATCTCTGTGCGTCGCCGGCGCCCTCCTCTTCCTCGTCTCCTGCTACTGCACATGGCCCTGTGCCCTCGACTTGTGTCTCGACTGTGATGGGTGGTGGGGTGGCGGGCACACCTCCTGCTGTGTGCGGCCCTGTTCCCCCTGTGGTTGAGATACATTGGCTATGGGAAAATAGCCTTGGCTACAATCAGCTTTGGTCTGGTCGTGATGGTCGAGTGGATAAGGTGCCCTGTACACCAGTTGAATAGTGCTCCTGGCAGTATGGGTTCGAGTAACTTCTGGGGTGTGAGTTTTCAGTTGCATGTATGCCTGGAGACCATTCAGGCTTGTTCGCATTTGTGTTCCTCATGTGTGCCCCAAAGAATGAGGTGATTTGATAAAATACTATGCCCAAGATTACCATCAGAGTGCCGGCGGGCTGATGGGAAAATAGCTTCGGCTACCATCAGTTTTTGTCTGGTCATGATGGTTGAGTGGATAAGGTGCCCTGTACACCAGTTGCATAGTGCTCCTGGCAGTATGGGTTCGAGTCACTTCGGAGGTGTGAGTTTTCAGTTGCATGTATGCATTTCTACCAGTAAGTAAATTTTGGATTTGCTGTAGCCAAGCTTAAGTATAACAGTGGTGACATGTAGAAGTCAATTAACCTTATTGAATGACCCATAAACGTGCGGTTCTACCTGCATAATACAATGATGATAGATGGAGGGACTGGTGTGAATTTTACTTTGCCTCAAGTTTACGAGATTTTGTTGATGTTCCCGGAATATTACTGCCCTCAGGCTGCTCAAAAGCAGTCCTAGATGAGCAAAAATTTTAGCTAACTTATCAGTTTTATCATGCATTCGGAGACCAATGTGGGAAGGAATCCACTATATATATATATATATATATATATATATATATATATATATATATATATATATATATATATATATATATATATATATATGTATATATATATATATATATATATATATATATATATATATATATATATATATATATATATATATATATATATATATATATATATATATATATATATATATATATATATATATATATATATATATATATATTGTCTCTGATTATATAATATATATATATATATATATATATATATATATATATATATATATATATATATATATATATATATATATATATATATATATATATATATATATATATATATATATATATAATCAGAGACAAACTCTGATTATATAATCAACTCATTGAATATTTGATTATATCTGTGTCTAGCTTCAGAGATAAGCACGTCTCTTGGGGAGCTGAGGGAAGTCAATGATGACAAGGAGTCACTTACAATTAGCGTGTCAGCTTTGGACTCATATACGCGCTCGAGTGCAAGGATTATGGCAACGAATTCAGTTTGAAGAGTGGAGACCTATTTATTTATACGCGCTCCACACTCATAGGAGAAGGAACCATCTCTCGCTGTCACAATAACTGCACTTCTAGCTTGGGACTGGTGCCAGGAGCCATCAGTGTAAATAATCTTGGATAGGGATCGTTCTCTGACCAAAGCATAAATTTGGCTTAAGGCATTGTACTTTGCTTCAAGTCGAAGCCAGGCTTGTTCTTTAATTAGCTTCTTGGGGTGGGAAAGGGGGGACAGTCTCTCTTGGAAGAGGTGATGAATATTATACATTCTAAGCACAGTGACGGTTTTGATAATCCATTTGGAGGCATGACCCAGCCTCTACAAATGGTATTCTTACTAGAATGGCCGCCAACTTCATCAGCTCACTTTCATCCACCAAATAATCTTCTCTTGTCTCAGTGGTCAACGGCCTCAGCACAGAGTTATATTGGTGTGTTAACATTCATCTCACTGCCCCCAGGCAAGTAAAGCGTGGATGGCATAAAACACAATAATAAAAAATATAAACATTTAATGAATAAACAATACATTCGCATAAATCCTGCAGGATGAATGAAGGTAAACTTTGGCAACACTCTTCGTGAAATACTAGTCCAGGTAATTACTCTTTAGAACTTTAGAACACATTTAAATTCGACTTAAGTGAGTACCAAGAAATGGAAGCAATATCAAATTCATGTGGAACTTCTTTATCCAATAATTTCAACCCATCCTCATGTCTAGATAGTATTTTTTGTAACTATGTGCGCAATAGTACAAACATCGACGTACTAAGCAATTAGATAGTAGAACTGGGTACTACTCACTTTATAGACCTAAACAAAATGAAGTAAAACAAAACTTAAATATTCCTTGGCTTAGGAATAGAAACACACATATGTACTATATTAGGCCTCAGATAGCGTGTATTAGGCCAAGGAAGGTAAGGTTGTCTTTGCAATATAAGTACAAAACCTTTTCCGGTTTGTACAAATACATTAGTACTGATTTCTACTTTCTAGTTGCGTTATACGTCGCTATATTACTGTGGTTTTCATCGTTACTATAAATACTACAAAAACAGTAGGATAGGCTAAATAATTCTTAACGAAACGAATATTACCGTATTTTATCTCGATTAAACCTTCGCCCTTTAATATCACAATCTTTTTAGAATACATACATGTAAAGGTATACAAATATATCCACTCCACAGGTGACAATTATTATAATCCTTCATTTATCAATATACTACTTAAATGATCCTAACCCAAAGGAAGGGGAGAGTTTATGATCTATGTTGATACATCAGTTAACGTTACTCTCAGGTTCAGTAGCCTGTTGCAGTTGGTAGGTGACCATGCAAAGTTAGCCTCCTTCCTCAATGACCCCATGTACTTCCCGTTTTGTGGTACAGTCGTTGGTCTCCCGTTTATCTTCTACGAAGATTTGCTTGGCTGCTTGCCTCACTGTCGATCACGCTCGGTACTTGATTTAGTGTTTGGAGGGTACACTCCTCCCCCTGGAGTTTACCTGCTGTGACGAGCTCCTATGAGAGACGACGGGGTCCCAGGCCCCAGGTGCTCCCTACGCTGAGAGACGATGGGGTCCCAGACTCCCGGTGCTCCCCCATGCTGAGAGACGATGGGGTCCCAGACTCCCGGTGCTCCCCCATGCTGAGAGACGATGGGGTCCCAGACTCCCGGTGCTCCCCCATGCAGTCCTACCCCAGGGAGTTTCACAATGTCTCTTCTGCTCTAGTGTTGAAGTCTTACTTAAGGGGTTATCTTGAGGTTATCTTGAGTTGATTTCGGGGCTTTAGTGTCCCCGCGGCCAGGCCTCCACCCCTAGGAAGCAACCCGTGACAGCTGACTAACTCCCAGGTACCTATTTACTTCTAGGTAACAGGGGCATAGGGTGAAAGAAACTCTGCCCATCGTTTCTCTCCGGCGCCCGGGATCGAACTCGGGACCACATGATCACATGCACAGCGTGCTGTCCACTCGGCCGACCGGCCCCCCAATGGGGTAACCAGTGCAACCTGCCTTTACAACGTCCCACTGTACTGTGACACACTTGTTGTTGTTGTTGTTTTAGAGTTAGCTACTCAGAACTAATTGTCCATGTAGCACGGGCTATAGTGAGCCCGTAATCGCCTGTTACTGGCGATAACCTTGTTACTGTGATATTTGGATCAAAGTTTTATAGAGTTTGGGTTTCCTCCTTTTTCCCCGTTTCTTTTCACTTCTGTTTTAGCTCGCTGATTTTTAGTCGTATTTTAATAACATCATCTTTTACGGTACATGGTAAGATAGCGAGTAGATACCATATGCAAGATGGTAACGTAGTGAGTTGATCCTGTACGCAACACATTAAGTTAACGAGTAGATACCATATGTGGGGAATTTCCCACCAGGTAATTCGTTAAATTTAATTTTTGTTATAGAGTAAACTGTATTAGAATAAAGTGGACTGTATTAAAATTCTTGTCCTCTGCTGGTTGTTACCCTTAACACATATATTTTTTTTGTTGGGGGGGGGGTAATTATAGCCTGTCAATCGAGAATTATAGATAGATAGGAATTTAGTAATAATTATTAGTTGACTAAACTATTGGTATTAGTTTGAATATTCAATGGCCTTATCTGACTTGAAGGCTTCAACATGAGCATAAGAACGGGGCATTCGGACAATCAGTTATGAGCCTCGTGGGTTATGGCGGCTGTTCCCACGTGATGCAACAGGTGGATGTCGTGTGGTTCCCTGATGATCACCGCAGATCTGCTAAAAGATTACACTGTAACTACTGAAAATATTTCCTAGCATAGATATGTTACGTTGAGAAGGATTAATTGATTGATTGTGAGAGGCTCACATGGGTTTTCTACATCGTCTTGAGGTTATCTTGAGGTTATCTTGAAATGATTTCGGGGCTTTAGTGTCCCCGCGGCCCGGTCCTCGACCAGGCCTCCACCCCCAGGAAGCAGCCCGTTACAGCTGACTAACTCCCTGGTACCTATTTACTGCTAGGTAACAGGGGCATTCAGGGTGAAAGAAACTTTGCCCATTTGTTTCTGCCTCGTGCGGGAATCGAACCCGCGCCACAGAATTACGAGTCCTGCGCGCTATCCACCAGGCTACGAGGCCCCTCCACCAGGCTACGAGGCCGCTTTATCTAAATCGACAGCCGGTTTTTGTCCAACATATTAAATGGCCATGAAATAAGTACAGACAAATAATGACAAAGTGGAAACGAGTTAGTCTCGTAATTTGAGATAACGGCAGCTGGAGTATGCAGATGACCCGATTCACGAGAACAAATCGTAGCTGCGCAAGGAGATTTTCCTCTCGAGAGATCTGATCAACCCAAGGTCTCGCACAATGGCGATCCCTCCTCCACCGTATCTATTCACGCCACTAGCACGGTTTAATTTCTGCCCATTTATGGACGAGAATAGGGAAGCTTTATTTTACGTATTATTTTATTTGTTCCAGTCACAGAGAACGGTTTTATACTGGTTATAATGCTGGACTGGAAGTTTTATGGAGTTGAATTATTTTCAATGTATATAAAGTTTATGGCGTGACCATTTTATCTCATGTGCACGAATGAGATAATAGTCATGTCGGTTAAATTTTACTTCAGGGAGAAAAGTTACTTAGTTCTGTCTAAGTTTTAGTTAAATCCAGTCTATTTTAATACTTTTGAAGTGCAATTAAATTGTAGACTGGAAGAATTAAGAATTTGGAAGAAATAATAGTTATGTCGCCTATGTTGGCTGACACACTTCTTCTCCACGCTTTCCAGGGAGCCTCTAGACATTTCCTCACTGGAAAATTAATACAGTTAGTATGTTTAGTTTCCTGACATAACGAATTTAGCTTGTTATATCAGGGGTTAGTTATTTGGGGGTCGGAAATTTCCGACACCGTATGCAAAATGGTAACACAGTAAGTTGATACCGTACGCAACATGGTAAGATAGCGAGTTGATACTATACGCAAGATGATAAGATAGCGAGTTGATACAGTATGCAACATGGTAAGATAGTGAGTAAATACAATATGCAACATAGTAACTTAACGAGTTGATACCATATGCAACATGGTAACATAACGAGTTTATATCATATGCAACATGGTAAGATAGCATGTAAATACCATACAGCAGGCTAAGATACCCAGTATGTATGATATGCAAAATGGTTAGACAGCTAGTAGATACTATACACAACACGGCAAGAGAGTAAGTAGATGCAGTATGCAACACAGTAAGATACTGAGTAGATACCATAAGCAACATGCTAAGATAACGAGTTTATACCGTACATAATATGGTAAAACAGTAAGTAGTTACTATACGCAACACGGTAAAATAGTGAGTACACAACATACAATGAGGAAAGATAACGGCTAGATAACACATGCTATTAGAGTTGATCAAGGTCAGAGCCCATTAGGCAAGGCCGGCAAACACGCTTAAGATATGACACCAAATGATAACCAATAATAACCTCAAGATTTGTCTGATAAGGAACTTGTTGCCATGGACAGATGACGTATTAAAAACTGTATATGACAAGTAATTCATAGTTGTGTCTTCTCCAGCTTCAGGTTATCTTTCGGACTCTAATTGTTACTGTCCCTGACTGTTACCATTCTGAATGTTAACATTCTGAATGTTTCAGCTTCTGAATATTACAGTTTGTTACTGATAGAGTTTCTGACTGTTACAGTTTGTTACTGATAGAGTTTTTGACTGTTACAGTTTCTAACTGCTATAGCTTCTGTCTTTGTTACAGTTTACCTAACATTCTGTCTCATATACATATATTGTATTAGCTTGAGATTACACCTTTGTTATTGATGTTCACTCGGGTACAGTGTTTACCTCAAATACAATTATATTATCTCATTCAGATTAATTTGTTGCCGTGTTTATTTTTTTATACGATAAGGTGCAAATGTATGTTACTCTTTAACATGATAGTTAAACAGCCCATCCTCCTAAAATAGTGCTGCTTATACCCACTATTTGGGAAAATGTACAATACATTTGGATCCATCCCTCAAAACAGTCACGTTTTGCATTTGTGAATTAGCCCAAATGCCATACTAGAAAATTGGAAAAGTAACCATGGAATCTAATCTAGCCTGTCCACGCAATCCAAGGTCAAATACTTACTGTCTTAGGCCTAATAGTGTATATATGTCTCCTATACTAAGCAGAGGAATGTTTATGTTTGTTTTTTAGGTTTTTTCTCGGACAGTAAAATTAATACAACAAAACGTAAGCCTTTTGAGGTCCAACAGTGGGTTCGACCAAATAGTTGCTATAAGTACTATCATTTTAGGAGGACGGCTCATAGCTAAATGTAAACATATCTTGTTTAGAGAACCACAGTATATTCAAGGAACCACACCATCAGATGCGGTGGTGGAGTGTGGAAGTGTTGGTGGTGGTGATGCTGGCGGTTGTGCACCAGGCGAACGCCTCCAAGATCCTCTTTCTTGCTCCCTTCAGCATGCAGAGCCACAAGAACTTCTTCATGGGCATCGCGGAGGCTCTGGCCGCCAAGAACCATACGGTGAGTTTAAAACATGATTTGATAATTGTCCAGGACGGACCAAAACGTCGTCACTTAGTTTCATTTCAGATGTGTGGAGCGGGTGACCAGTTCTCAGCATTGTTATTGTGACTTACTGTCTGGTCATTCTTACATATTGTGTTTCCAGTTCCTGTTTGTATTACTACTGCCTATCTCACTCTTATACAAACGCCGGAGATATGAACATGGAGGTAAAATGAAACAGCAGAGGCTTAATATCTAATGCAAGGCAGTTCCTAATTATTAGATTTTTTTTATGTGTTGCTGACAATATGTCAAAAGTAAGAACAAAATAAATTTTAGGTGATTGCCACCATTTTTTGAGCCGGCAAACGCTCCAAACGTGTCCGTGGGAGGAAAGGGGAGGTTAAAATGGCCAAGACGCTCATAACATGCTAACCGCTGTTGCTAAAGGCATGATTTATGGCAAAAAATTTGCGAAATTCTCATGTTTCTATGTGTCTTTTGAGGAGCTTTTCCTCTATTTCTACAAGAAAAAGGTTATTGGCAAAAAATCATTTTAGTGGGAATTTGAGTGGGTAAAAAGGGGAAAATTCCTATATTTCTCCTTTGAATTGTCATATCTTTGCTATTATTTTGATTTATTTATGACAGCTGACAATTTAAAATATATATAAAATATAAAATAAATTTTTCATTATACCCATAACAAATATACTTTACAACTTGAAGAACACTATACAGTTCTTCAAGATTTACCTTGAAGAAAATATCTTCAAGATTTAATTTAAAATATATATACAATTAATTTTTCATTTTGACCATAACAAATATACTTTGCAACTTGAAGAACACTATACAGCTCTTCAATATTTACCTCGAACTTGGACTTCTGAACGGCCTTCTACCACTAATGAGGCATTAGATCCCAATATGCCCAAATATGCAATAAATGAAAACTCGTTCGATTTCAATCAATCTTTTTTGACAAGTTGTATATGAAAAGGGTTTCATCTGGTCCAAGTTTCAGCATCGAGCAAAAAAAGGAAGGGATAATAAAAATACTTGATTCAAGTGTTAAATTTATACCAAAATGGTCAAAAACGATTATCAAACAAAAGTGTCAACTGAAATCATATCTATGACTCTTTGCTATCACAATAGCATATATTAAAAAATATTATAATTAGTTTAATTGTAAAAAAAATTAAGTTAAAAAAAATATATATTTTTTTTAAATTGTGTTATTTTATCGGACGATATGCATGAAACTTATACACCTGACTGCACATAAGGCTATCTGTAAGGGTGCCAATTTTAAAGAAAAGTGGTTGATGTCAACCTCAGCCACAGATTTTAGAACCTTAGACTTTATTATTTTTAAATAACATAAATGTTCAAATAACTTTTTCATTTTTTATTTAATTTACGTGAAACATACACCGTATATGTAGAGTGCATGTTTCTAAATCTTGTTGATAGCTTTTATGTCTAAGTTCATTTATTGATTTTATAATAGCAATAAACATGACATATTTGCATAATTTTTTGGGAGAAATTGAAAATTTGTATTAGGAAAACTAAAGATATTTTGGAAATTATCTATCAACATATCCTTTATTATATGCTAATGTGTCAGAAAAGTGTCATAAAATAATTATATCTGAAACGTGTGTTTATTTATTCAGACTTGAAAAGTGTAAAAGTCGTTGAAAACAAAAAAAATCTCCCTTTCTATTTATGCTACAGTACTGAAACTTGGGACAATTGCAGCCCTTTTCATATACAACTAGTCAACAAATATTGGTTAACACTGAACAACCTTTTTGTAATCAACATAATGGCCCCTAAGGGAGGCGTAGTCGTCCAACAGGCGCTGAGCTTGTCAATGCGTATGTATCGTAGCAAGCTCGTTGGCGTGGTACAGGATGGCCTCCCCCCTCCCCATTTCGCGTTTGTATGTGTGGAGTTAGCGACTGATTTTCGAATCGGGTTATTATTAAGATTGATCTTATTTTAACAATATAATCGACCATAAGAATGTTAAGTTTAATTTCCTCCAATCTATGTAAGTAAAAATGTAAATGTTCGGTTGTTCAAAATCGCTAATCTCCGAAAGTTCTTCACCGATTACTTTGAAACTTTGACACAACATTGCATTCGAATATGCGCATGTCTTTATATACCTATTATATACATGCCACACTTGTGACAGGTAAAAAACATTTTTTTTAAACAGGGCCATCTATTGGACGTAAAAGCAACACACACTGTAATCTCCAAAAGTTCTTCACCGATTGCTTTGAAATTTTTGCACAACGTTCCATTCGAATACACTCGTGTTTCTATATAACAACAATATAGATGCCACACCTGTGACAGGTAAAAACATGCTTTTACAGCATGTTTTTTGGTGCTAAACAGCGCCATCTGTTGGGCGTAAAAGCAACACACGCTATAGTAAATATGTTACAATTCCATTTCAATGTTTCTGATTACATTGATGAATTGAATTTTCATAGATTTCGATTTATTTCCATTTTGATTTAATTATTTTGTGTGACATTGCATTGGAATTGAGATGTGTTGTTTAGCATACTGTTCATTTCGTGAGTATAGTTAATTTTTTTAGTTTTGAATTTTTTCCATCTCGTTTTTTTAACTGTTTGTATTTTTCAATGATGGGAACATCAGACCATCTGATGTTCCCATTTTTTATTAGAACATCAGATCATCTGGGTACATCATCTGAGGAACGTTTGGGAGGACAAGAGGATGGGAGTGGGCATGGTGGGGCTAGCGAGGGGATGGGGAGGGGGTAATGGTGGGGAGGACGAGGGGACGGGAAAGCGGGAGATGGTGGGGAGGACAAGGAGACGGGGGAGTAGGGAATGGTGGGGAGAACGAGGGGACGGGGAATGATGGGGAGGACGAGGGAGTTGGGGGGATGACTTCGAAGATGGGGGTACATGGAGGTTTGCTGTGGCTCAGCAAAGCGCATGCGTTGCAGAGCCACAGAAACGCATAGGCGGGGTACAGTTAGTTCGATTAATAATGAGAATCAACAGTTATTCATCGTTTCATAACAAAGTGGAGGTTGAGGCAGAATTATGGCACCAGATTTAATAGGAAAAAATTTGGCTACTGCGCATTTTAGTTAAAGTTATTATTTATGATAAGAAGATGAATCCTCTTAGCTGCAAATTATTAACAATATATATTAAATAGTTAGTTTTATTATTAGTGGAAAATATTTCCCACAAGCGATGAAGAAATACGGAGGTTGGGTATACACAAAGTTCAATAAAAATGTGGAAAGCTTCCGTCATTTACTCTTCTATATGAATGTTACCATAACTTGCTCGATGAAATTAATTATCATAAACGGCCCCATCCAATAAGCACTTGACAGATTTCAATATAGAGCAAAGTCGAATGAAACCTTTAGAGCTCAACCATCCGTGTCACAACCAGCAAGTTTGAGAGACATGTTAAGTTGATGGCTGAACCGTCGGTGCAAGTTTTTTCATTTTGAAAGACGATTCGGTCTGATTTGTTAAATGATTTTATCCCACAAATTTAAGAAAATATTTGACATCAAAATGCAATGAGCACATTTAAAGGGCGGATTAACTTTTTTTTGGAAGTCATCGGACATCTAACAACCAGTTTTTAAAACTCTTGAAAATAGTTCTGGTTAAACAAATACCATCGAGCAACAAGTAACTCTAACTATTCATTATAAATTTTCCTCAAAGTGTAAATGGGGTGGAGAGGAAATATTACTCATTAAATTTTATGATTTTCGTATACATATTATTATGAATTATTATGATGATAAGGAATAATGTTATGGTGGATTTTCGCCATTTTTACAACTGCTGGTACCCCGAAAATGGTTTCTCGCTATAACATTTTTCTTACGCAAACAGAGAAACGTCCCTCTTAAGGCATATAAAAACAGTAGGCTTCTGCAAATTTGTAGTAAAAATTGTGGCTCTAGCACCAGCAATTGGTGAGTTATTGCCATCCTGGCCAATTTACCTTCCACGTGAACACATTCAGAGTGGTTGCTGGCCAATTAATTATAGCAATCTTCAAAAGTTAATTTTGATCTTACTGTTGGCCTATTTTGGCATATTTTTACTTTAACGTTTTCCAAAAGAACTCTTTTGCCTTGCGAGGCAGAGGAAGAGTAATATACAACACTACAGACATAGCAATATATTGCATGTAGGTGTGACGAGACGAATGACGATTATCCTGAATAGACAACATAGTAATCTGGTTCTGCTTTCTCATTAATATATAAATATGTCGCACATAATAGCCAGAACTACAGTACTTGGTCTAATATGCAAACTTCGATCGTCAAACAAGCAGAGAGACTTTCATCATTTTTAATTTTTTCTTTCCAAATTGCTGTATTCAATTAATATTATTATATTTAAAAAATTATTTACTGGCTTAGGTATGTTAGATTAGGTTAGGAGTATTAGGTTAGGTTAGATAAAATTTATGTGTTAGTCATAAAACAAATTTAAAAATCAAGTCATACATATAATGTAGTGAAAAGCATTATATATATATATATGTTGTACCTAGTAGCCAGAACGTCGTACTCGGCCTACTATGCAAGGCCCGATTTGCCTAATAAGCCAAGTTTTCCTGAATTAATATATTTTCTCTATTTTTTTTTATGAAATGATAAAGCTAGCCATTTCATTATGTATGAGGTCAATTTTTGTTTATTGGAGTTAAAATTAACGTAGATATATGACCGAACCTAACCAACCCTACCTAACCTAACCTAACATATCTTTATAGGTTAGGTTAGGTTAGGTAGCCGAAAAAGTTAGGTTAGGTTAGGTTAGGTAGGTTAGGTAGTCGAAAAACAATTAATTCATGAAAACTTGGCTTATTAGGCAAATCGGGCCTTGCATAGTAGGCTGAGAAGTGCGTTCTGGCTACTAGGTACTAGGTATACATATATATATATATATATATATGTCGTACCT